ATGGGAACAAATGTAATACATCCCAATACAAAGAGTCAAGTGAAAACCTACTAAGGCACTCAGCCTTTACAAAATAAAAATACGAACTCTAATGTCTGAAGATAAACATCTATTGTGGAGCTCTGAAAATAACTACAAATATAATATAATAGATGTAAGCTACTATGCATCTCTATCAACCCGCGACTCTCCGTGCACCTGACTCGCTGCCTGAAAAGAGGGGAAAACAGTGAGCGTCAATGTGCTAGCGAGATCATCTCTACCACCCCCAGGGGGGAGAGGTAGGAGTATATAAGAAAATACATATTAGTATATATAAATATAAAATCATCTATATTACACAAAGTGAAAATTGGTATTTAGAAACCCACAACATGAGAATTAGTACGTCGAGCGAAATAATCCAAATAAGAAAACTGTCATATATATATATACCATGTCTTAAATTATGAATCTCTAAATACCAATTCTAATCCTATGAATAAAAAAACAACACATACCAGAAATGCTACAACTCTTAACCTTAACCATGATGAGCCAATGTCAAAATCTCGGACTACCCTCGGGTAGTTGGAACAGTCATAAACAAATATCATCCAACTTAATCATCTCCTAGAACATGCTATGTATGCCAAATATCCAAATTGTACCCTACTCTCAGGTAATCAAGCATGAGAGCAATAATGCAAACTGTATATATACCTCTACTTGAAATAACGATACTATTGTAAGGTCATCACAATATCCTGTGTCTACCACCTTACTCAATCGTTCTGCAAAAATAGGTAAATCACCCTATTCCGTATGATGCATAACAGATGATCGCCAAGCAGAGTATAAACATACCAGCCCAATCTAAAAATACCACGATTATCCTAGAGTGTGGTCCATCCCCGGTCTCATTTGTGGTAAACTAACCAACTCTAAGTGTAATCCATCCGCAGTCTCATTGCGGTATACCGACTAACCCATTAAGCATCCACAACTAATGTTATATTTAATAAAATGTGTTAACTCTAACACCATCCACATTAAACATGTGTTACGCATCTCAACAATTCGTGTAAACTCAAAATAAAAACATGTATCAAATGTTCGTGCACGTATCTTGATGTGTGAATCCAAATCTCGTGTTCACAAACACCTCATGTGTTAAACAATCAACAACCAGCATAATACAATATCAGTCAATCGAAATAATCCTTCGGCCAAGCAACAAATTACGCAAAACATGCATGTGCACTAAACTGCTGGTCGGTCGACCGGAACCTATGCGGTGGTCGACCGGCCAAAGGCAAAAACTCCAGTTCTGCCAGGTTCGAAACAATGTCAGGTTTTCACTTCTATCTCATATATTTCGATTTTAAACATGTAAAAACTATTTATAGAGACTTTTTCAATGTTCTTAGAGATCATAAAACCACAATAAACGAAAATATTTATGTTAAATAGTATGCGCAAACCCTATTCATGTTCAAGTATATCAAACGTTGTGAAGATAATCAAATCACATCTGAAACTCATGTTTGGAAACCTTCAGTTCTTAAAACACGTCAAATAATTCGTTCATAACCCTTTTAAAGCAGAAAGATTCGATCTTTTAATCATATACTATTTTCTTGTATGCAAAATAGGGTGTAGGCTCAAATGAAACAAACCAAAAGCTCATTAAAACCATTTAAAAAGTGGTGTAGGGTTGGAAGAGATGATGCTTGCCTCAAAATCTCTATTGAAAATCCAAAAGTGCAAGCACAAGCCAGATCCCCTTAGCCACACGCCAACGATCTCGCCCTCACGTAGTAATTTTTTTTTCAAAGCACTCAAAACTTGCAAGAATTTGGTCTAGGGTTTATGAGGGGAGATGGTGGCTGCTAGGGTTCAGAAGTAGGATAGAAAAAACTTAATTTTCGTAAAAAAACATGAATTTATATGGAGGCAAACCCGAAAAGAAGCAAACTGACCCAAAATCCAACTCAAACTGGGAGTTTGAAAATACGCGGGTCGGTTGACTGACCACATATTGTTGGCCTTCTTGTTTTGATGATGATTTACAAACAATTTACATCTAGTGTTGTTTGTCTAGTATTGGTGTATTTTTATTTATTATAGACAAACAACGAGTTAGAGGTTGGATGGAATTGCGCATTCACGATCATATTCAATGGAGGTTGGCGGAATTGTGGTATAAAGCCTACGTAATTCAAGTTCAAGATCCAAGTTCAAGCTTCATCCGCAAGTGTACCAAGTCAAGCTTATTTAAGATCAAGATTGTTTGGGTAACATTTAGTTTAGGTGTTATATTATGTGTGTTGGTACTTTAAGCTAAATCATACACACATAAACACGTTTTGGTTTTTTCTATGTATATATATAGTCATATATATACATACATGTTTTGGTTTCCAAGTATATATAAATATGAAATTACATCCTTCATATTTATTGTTTTGGGTTTTCAAGTTTAAATATGAAACAATTGAATATAATTGGAAAATATTTTTTTGTTTCATGTTTATATGATTATATATGATTTTATCAATATCAAGTGTATATTTAATGAAATCATATTTATTGTTTTTGAAAAGTTTGCAAAGATATGCAATCTTATGAAAATATTGTATTCTCAATTTTAGACTTAACAATAGTTATATACATCTTTTATTAAGTCTACAAAATCATTTTGTAATGTTTCAAAACATGGTTAAGCTATAATGTCAAAACTCATGTGTTTACATTTTCATGTTTTGGATTATTTTGCAAAATAATGATATTTTCATTTGGGAGGTCCTTTTTGAAAACCAGTTTTTATAGCATATTTATTATCATGTCTACAATCATTTCCCAAAGTTTTATATTTTTCTGAATTTGTTTGATATTTTTAAACATGGTTTCAAAACCAGAAAACAGTTTTTTTGCATGTATCTGTTTGCGGTCGACTGCCACGGTCGACCGTCCTTGAGTCCAGAGACTCAGGATCGTTTTCAGAGGCTTGTGATCGACCGTGGCAGTCGACCGGATGCAGTCCAGAGAGTTTCGCGGTCGACCGTCACGGTTGACTGGCTGATGTCCAGAGCCGTATTTAGTTTCTGTTGTTGCTCGCGGTCGACCGCCTATCGCCCAACGGTCATTTTTGTACAAAATCTGATTTCTGATTCTGTGGGTTTTTTGGTCTTTTCTGTTGGGTTTTTGGCTGAGGTTTTGGGAGGCTATATATACCCCCTTGCTCTCATCTTTTAAATAGCATTAAAGAAATATTTTAACAAGGGTTTAAATGTTGTTTAAGTTTGTTTAAGAAACTTTTAAGCATTTGAGAGTTTGAGTTTGTGAAATCAATTTCACAGAAGCTTGAGAAGATCGTCTATTGGTGTTTGGGCATCCAACTACTCTCCCTCAATCTCTTGATCTATTGAGAAATTTTCTAAACTCTATTTCTAGCTCTTTTTATATATATTTGATTATCATTGTTATTAAGCTAGAATTACATTGAGTTTAGTTTGATTTATTTCTTTTTGCTTACACACACACAACTATTGAGCTTATTGTATTTACATTCATAGTATAATTGGGTTGTGGGATTGTGTAACCTAGAGAATGAGCTTATAATTCGTTCTCATCCATTGTAGAGAACAAACACTTTGTATTGTGCCTAATTGTGAGATTCACTTTGTATTACACTTGTACACCGAGAGGAGTGTGTGGTGAGAGTCGGGGTCACTTCCAAGAGGAGTTGCGTCGGTTGACAAACCTAGGGAGATGTTGTATCCGAGCACTTGAGGAAGGATACAGAGAGACCAACACTTAGAGGGCGTAGAGTGTAGTTACATTGTGTTATTGTGTGGTGTAAACGTTATTCGGATGATCGTAAAAAATCCGGTTGTGATAGTGGATTTCTCCCTGGGAGTGGGGAGCGGAGACGTAGGACGGAAGGTCCGAACTCCTTGATCATTTCGTATGTTTGAGTTTGCTTTGGCGCACTTGCTCTTATGTTTATATTTCTTGTCGCCATTGTCCATTGCTCATTATTTCTATCATCCACTATCTTATTTATTTTGTTTACCCTTGTGTATATCACTTATCCTAGCTCACATATCTTGTCTATCTTATTTATTTTGTTTACCCTTGTGTATATCACTTATCCTAGCTCACATATCTTGTTGTATTTTATACTTGCTAGGATAACTTGTTAATTAGTTTTAATTAGCATAAAATCGGATTAGATTAGCATAAGACCCAAATCAGCCCCCCTCTAGGGTCAAACACATATGTGCGGTCGACTGGCCAGAGATTTTCTGCATGTGCATGTTTTGCGTTCGTGCATGTTTCTAACTCGTTTCTCTCACACATATGAACTTGTTTGATCTCAAATCACTTGGTATCATATTCATTCATCATTTAATGATATTTATCACAATAAAATTCACTTATCATAATTAATCACATATTATCTCATTTTTTTGGGGGTTTTACATAATTATAATATAATATATTATAGTTTAGTATAAAATAAAATAATGTTATTATATAATAATATGCTAAACTAATTAGGTAAATTAATTTAGACTTAATTGATAGATAAATATTGTACTTTAATAAGGTGTCACATCATTAATTATCTCACATGAATAGTCAAATCAAAGTTTTAAATTATCCCATTATCCTAAATTGTCACACTTTACACCATTCAAAATATTCCAAATTGATAAAATTATTCCATTGGAACAATTATCCCACTTAGTCCCAACCAATAGCCCCCTAACAAAGTGTAAATTCTGTATTACAAAGTCACATATTGTTTGCCCAATAATTTTTTTTATTTATAATTTTTATTTTTGAGGAAAGATGAATGGATCACACGTTTCCCAGCTCAAACTATCATTAACCAGAATTTGGTCCTGGTTCTTCTCGTGTAAATTAGATTCACGTGGGCGAAAATAGATTGATAAAAAGACAGAGGCTGCCCACAATTTTTTATTCCTGGCATGAGCCATGATTTTCTTTTCTAGTCTCCTCCGCTTCTAGAAAGAACTGAAAAGCCTCTGCGGACGATGCACGCAACAGTACCGCGGTACAGTGTACCATCGGTCCCCATATAAACATCTCGACTCCATCTCTCCCTCAAAAACAAAAACCCCCCTCCCTCTTTCGATCGAGCAAAAGCCCCTAGGGCTTCAAAATCTCATCACTCCCAGAGCCAAAACCCTAGATCCCATCACCATGGACCCCGATGCCCTCGCCAAGGCTTTCGTCGAGCACTACTACCGCACCTTCGACTCGAACCGAGCGGGCCTCGGCAACCTCTACCAGGAATCATCGATGCTGACCTTTGAGGGCGCGAAGACCCAGGGAGCGCAGGCGATCGTCGCCAAGCTGGTGGGCTTGCCGTTCCAGCAGTGCCTTCGTCATCCCAAAACCAAAACCCCGCCGGCGGCAAGCTTGTCTTCGTCAGCGGTTCGCTTCAGCTCTCCGGCGAGCAGCATGCCCTCAAGTTCAGCCAGGTACTGTGATCCCAACCGATCTCTGCGACGCGTATTTCTATGTTTTGCTTGGATCTGGTGCTTGATCCTCTTCGTATGGTTGTAGATCTAGGGTTTAATTGTTTGATTTTGGATGTTAGGGTTTTCACCGTGATTGGCTTATTTCCTGGATAGATCTAGGGTTTAATAGTTATTTTTCCATAGGAAAATTGTTCGATACCTACTTTCAGACATTAGTTTTTTGACCTTATTTTAGTGTTTGTGCTTGAATACCTTTACTCTGCACATTTATTTTGTTAATTACTTTGGTTTCGCGATAGATCTTATGGTTTAACACTTATTTAGGATGGTAGTTTGCCAATTGTGTACCGAAATATTGTTTCTGAAAATTTGTTTAGTCCGTCATTGGCTTTAAGTCTGCAACGATGGGTTGATGCATGAATCTTCCTCTAAAAATTTAAAAAAATGTATTCATTCATGTGAATCTTAATTATATATTTTGTTTATCGATAAATCCTCTTTGTTGCATATCTGTTCTTATTTTATCCATATCCATGTGATGGTAATTTGTAGCTTCTAATCTGATGCTTATCTTTAGATGATTGGAGATATTATCTGATCTGTCAGGGTATATTTTCTCCAATGGGATATTCAGTTCTTCGGTGAATATTAATCTATGCTTGGGACTTTATAGAAAACTCTTGCCCTAGTGACGGACATGAAGATCTTGAATTCCATGTATTTATATTTTTTATTCTCTCTACTTTTAGGATTTTTGGCTTCAGATGAGTAAATTTAAATCTAGATTGTGTGTTGTTTCTTTATTTATTTATGGTGTTGGTGCCAGTGTTTGACAGTTGATCATTGTAGTTGATCTTCGCTTACTTGATTTGCGTTTAGATATGTCCCTAAACTAGTTTAAAGCCCCACCTCCCTTTCTTTTCTCTTCTTCTCTCTAGTTTGCTGTGGTTTATTGGTTTTTTTCTTGCTTATGTTTACATGTATCACAGCGTTAGCTAGTTAAGTTCCGATCCCTTTTGGTGTTTCTTGCTGTTCTTGCTGAGATCAGTATTTATCTGAATATTGGACAAGGCACTTGATTTCTGTAGATATATTTTAATCTGCTGCTTTTGGATCTCAGGATCTAAATATGGCATCGCATGTTGATTTATGGTTTCTTTATTCTGAAATAATCCTAGATTAATTATTCCTGAAGCTTGTTAGTTTATGCACGGCTTAGATTTTTTTTTTCTCCAGAACTGCATACTTCATTCTCCATATGTTATGCCTGGGATTGGCAAAATGTGGATTTAAGTTTTATCACTCAAAATGTGTTGGTCAATGCTTGGTGTTTTCTTTTGATATTTACTTTCTTTTTACTCTATTTTTGTCGGAGAAGATTAGGATTTTTTAAATTGGTTACACCTGTGGTTTATAAATGTTGGTCTTTGTTGGTTTTAGACTCGGTGAACTACATGATTTTGATATGATTATCTAAACTTGGTAGCTTAAATGGCTTTTCCTAGATATTCCATGTGTATAGTTTGATGTTGTGGTACTTAGTTATAGTTATAGCTTCTTATTCCTGTTAGGATTTTCATATTGGATGCATATAACATCGATAAGTGTAGACTTAGTGTACCGCGACCTGGGTTCAATCGTCCAGGAACAAGGAACATTAACGAACTGGATCGTGGTGGAAAATAACCTAGTCCACCAACTCTGGTAAGTGGCAATCCGACTTAGAATTCAAAGCAGTTTAAATTAAAAAAAGTATTTATTTTTCAGAAAGTAAACAACTCATGATAAAAAAATAAAAAAGTATGCATACTTTGATTTCGACAACATGATTCTCAAGGTTCTTTACTATTGCTAATATCGACTAAGATATTTTTGAATTTGACTCTGGCAGAATGTCAGATTCCTATATTTAAAAGACGAACCTAAAATGTAATACATTTCCTAGTACACTGTATAAGCCTACCCCTTCATTCCTGACTCCAAATAAGTGGCGTACTATGCTTCTTTTCCTGTTTCATCAATCAAATTCAGAATGATCTTATGTTCCATGCAATTATGGTTTCTATACTCTTTTTTGGGCTTAATTTTTATAAGCAATTTATCCATCAGCCTCTCACAGCATTTTAAATATGCCCTTTGATGCAACATAATTCAATTTCGTGCAGAACCCCCTAGGAAATAAATGTACTAGATGTGTTTATGCTTTAGATCAGTGTACATGCCTGCTAACTTGAACTGCTACAAACAACAACATCTAGTGAAAGTTTACATGCATAACACAATCTGAAATCTACGGTGAATACAATTTTTTGCGGTGCAACTCCAGAAGCACAAAGTATCATCCTTGCATTTTTTTTTTACACATCATATCCTCAAAGTTTGACGTGCTTGGATGAAAAGTAGAAAATATATAATCTGCATCTTCTGAGACATATTCCTTCATATTGTTCTTTATGCCTAAAAGAATCCTTTCTTAAATAGGTATTTGCAGTGAAGTTGCAATCTACTGTCATCATTACATGAGCTTCCCATTATCTGCATATTTCATAACTTTGATCTTTGTTTGTTCAATGTGTATTGTCTACAAAAAAAATCTAGCCTTTTGATTCTCTGATCTTATGCCTGCTAAAATTTGAAGTTAGATTTAATGTCCACATAAGACAAAGCAACATTATGCTATAAGACATATTTCTTACGGTCATGGCCAGTGGTTTGTCACTTTGTGCAATCTTAGTCGCAGGCACCTAGGCAGCTGCCTAAGTGTCATCTATGCATTTTTTTGGCATTCCATTTATTAAGATGGCCGCTTATGCTGCAGTTGGAGACACATGATTTACAACTCAAGCAACGTAGAAAAAGGTTGACGGGAGACATTGAGAGAAAAAGTGTGTTTTTCAAGTTCAAAACCTTACCCTCAGTGTTCTATCTGAGATTGATTTGGATATGTACTTCGCATCCAAACTATAATTGATCCGATGTGTCCACCTATTAATATGCTTAACTGTGCTGCGTACTCATTTTCAATGTGGTGTGGCCTGCTTAAGCGGCCTATGCTCACGCCTCGCTGATACTTAGTTGAGTGTGCCCAAGCCAAAATTGTGCAACCACTTAGGCTGAACTGTGTTTTGAAGTAGTGATTACTATTCAAACATGTGCAACAGGGAGTCTGCCACTATATAGAATAAGTGGTTGTTTGATGGAAATTTTCAATCTGCTATTTATGGATTGGAAAAGTTAAACCATTAGTTAGCTTATTACACTTTAATACAACACCAGCATTTACTTTCATTTAAAATTTATGTCTGATATCAATTTCTTTTATTATTCCGTTCATTTATTGTTGTTTGCTAGTGTTCTTCAGACGCTTTTAATGATATATACGTATTCTATGTGTTTTTGTATGCCCCATTTCGTATAAAATTATATACTAATGAGTTTTCAATTTGAATACTAATGGTGAAGGGCAAGGCTTATTTGATGGCCCAAGGAGCATAATAAACCGGGTTACTATTCTGTTCATTTATTGTTGTTTCCAAGTTGGTTGGGCCTAATGCTACTAATCGGTTTCGAATTTGAATAGGAGTGAAGGCTAATGCTTATTTGATGGCCCAAGAGGCTTAGTGAACTGTGTTACTTAATTTTGGGTTTTACAGTTAGAATAAACAAAAGTGGAGATGTTAGGGTTATTTATGGGCCTAGAAAGTAGTAAAGATTGTGTTGTTTGATATAAGGTTAAGGCTATTGATAGTGGATAGCATCTCGTAGTGGTGAGGTACTGCTAAGGCTATTTGTAGCTGCAAAATACGAAAAAAGCACAAAATCAAATAGCGGTCCAATTTTGATACCGCTAAGGCTATTTGTAACTGCAAAATACGGAAAAAGCACAAAATCAAATAGCGGTCCAATTTTGATATGTATAAATATTTAAAAAATAAGAAAAATTAAGGAAAATTCTACAAATGCATATTTGATGATTTATTGAGATCCTAAGCCTGAAATAAATGTTTAACAATCACATAATATTAACAAAAGTATTGTACACAATGAAAAAGCATATATGTTTATCGAAAAGATTGTTATTTGTCCCATTCTTTCAACTTTCAAGTTTAGAAAAATTCTCAACAATAGAAAAACATTAATTAGTAGCAGTGTTTTCAATGCGCGAGGCGCAATGCGGGGCGCAAAGTCAGTTTACGCCAATGTTGTAAAAAGCGGCAAATAGCGCCGCTATCGCGCCGCTAATCGCGGTCGCGGTGCTTCGGCGCTCCGCTTACGAGTATCGCGGGGAGGGTTAACGGAGAAAGCCGCAATACGCTCGAAACGCATGAAAAAAGCGGGATTTAGCAGCCAAAAGCGCTTAAAAGCGCTAAAATCCGCTACAGGGTTTCTTAAACTCGTGGATACTTCACCACAAACCCGACCCGAACCTGTTATTTAAAACCCATCTCTTCAGTCTTCACCGCAAACCAGACTCTTTTGCCCTAGCCGTCCACAACTCTCTTCTTCCAGTCACTCCGATGCCTCTCTCTTTCACCTCCTCCGGCGACTCCTTCCAGCGCCATCTCCGGTCAACGTCGCCTCCGGTCAACACGCCTCCGATCGACGTCATCTCCGCACCAGCAGCACCTCCGGTCGACACCATCTCTCTCTCTCTCACGGTCTCACCTTCCTCTCTCTCCGGTCAACGTCGCGTCGCCTCCGGTCACCTTCCTCTTTGATGGGCTTCGTCTGCAATAGAGAGAACAAACAAGATAATAATTTGAAATTAAATGCTTATTAGTTGTAAATTTCTAAGTTGCAACAGAGAGAGCGAGCAAGGCTTATTAGTTGTAATTTGAAATGAAATGCTTATTTAGTTAATTTACTAATATCAAGTAAGGTTCACATGTGGGAAAAGAACCAAATGTTCTAGACAACATAATGCCCATCATTTATCCAATTAACGTAGTATTTTTGGGCATGTAATTTATTTAGTTAATTTATGATTATTTCATTCAAGA